AGGATGAAGCAGTGGTCACGACAAGTTAGGGTCTGTCTTAGTGGCGAGGAGGAGGAGGAGTGAGGGGATGAGAGGTTAGTGACCATGATTACCGACGTTGCGAATGCTATGTGAAATAGGAGTTTAACATGACGAGTGATGAGCAAAACTAGCATGTGAATTGCAGTCGACCAGTTTTGTTCAACATTTCTTTACCTTAACTCTATAATGTTGGAGTGGGTTGTATTTGTCTGTGCTGCTCAAACCTTTTTATTAACCGTTGTGATGATCTCGGTTATCGCTTTTGCGGGCTGTTAGTCGTTTCCTTCTCTGTTGTTGAATCTTCCACTGTTGCCTCGTTAATTTTGGTTTTAAAACAAAGGTTTAAATTTAACTTGTCTGTTGTTTCCGAGTTCCACATAATCAGCAGATTTTTGTTCGCCTTATGTTTAATTAACATCATCTTTCTACGCTCAAATCTGATTGGTTGTTCGATTTATTCACCAATCAAACAGCTTCAAATGTCCCGGATTGTTTTTGGAATTAAATACTTTTATATATTGAATATTTCATACCTTTATCACACTTCATTCCCTTTTCTCAAACCTTTCCTATTTAAACTTCATTTGGTTTGAGCATTTCCTCGTCAATTAATTCTGACCTTTGTTTCTTTACATGTCTTTATTTTGTGTCAACTCTTTCAAAAACAAAATACCTTTGTACATTTCCTCGTTGACATTTTGTGACTGCATGAACCCCTCTTCGTCCTGAATCTGGCCAATCAGCTTTCTCCGTTGCTTTCATGCTTCACCATTTAACTTGATAGCTTATTTACAGCCATTGTTCTGTTTATTGGTGTGTTCTTGTCTATATGGGCGACTGATTTTATCATAGGTCCTCGAATTTAACCCTCCCTTAATGCAAAACATGCATATTTTGTATAACATTGGACTTATGTAGCTATGTTAGCAAATGATTAAGCTGAACCACAAAACTTCTAACTCGAAGAAGGCAATTTGTTACTTTGTTTTGAAGTTTTTATGGTACGTTTTTGAGATCTACTTACAACCAGTTAGTAGCACACCCTTGCTCTGTAGGTAGTCCCGATATGAGTTCGAACTACGCCACCGAATTCGTGAAATCTCGAATCCTGCCTGAGAATCTGAGCCAGGCTATCATCAACTTGGATGAGTTCGGCTCCGCGAATTACGTCGGTCTAGCGCCACAGGCCCGAGAGGCGAAAAAAAAGAAGGCAAAATCGAGGAAAAAACCACGGCTTTTGCCCCAATTTCGTGGACAAACAGCAAAACAGTTGAAGCAAATTTTGAGGCGGGAGCAAAGCGCGGACTTGCGGCGTGAAATGAGTTGTCCTGGTGATCTGCCGCAACGGTTGAATAAGTTGTGGAACAGCTATGCAAATTCTCTTATTGACTGGAAAGGAGTTGCTAATGGTGCCAAAGTTACAAGTAGGCTGGAGACCGTGCTCCGGATGGATTTGATTGGTGCACGAATGCGGGTTCTTCGATCAATTTCTACGAAACAGGTAAGCTGGTTAAATATTTTTCGAGACGTTATTGCATTCCTTTTGAGCATGTGACCATGGGAACAGGCACGTTTCGAAAGAAGGGACACACTCCTCCTTGCTACCATACCTTTGCAGTATTTTTCTCGGTGTCAAATATCTTACTGGTGAATGATTTGACGGTTCAAGTTTCGGTCAAAAGGAACACTTCCCAATAATAATCCAGCTCTCTACCACAGTATCAGTGTCAGCTTTAATGGATGTAAAGATTGGGAGTAGGCCATTAGTAGTAGTTTCGAGCTAGGCTTGACACTCACGGTTGCGTGTTTTCCCATAATGGTGTCATTCTAAAATGACAGATGCATGATTGAGAGACTCGAGTGAACCCTACGCATCCACCAAACAACCTCTGCCATTTTATTCGTTAGCTTTTTTATGACTTATGTTTGTCCTACTGAATTAATATCAATAGCATCCTCTAGTCATTCCCTAAACTTCATTTTAGGTGGACTTGGAAGGCATTGTGACGATGGAGACGCGGAATGTTTTTTACTTCGCCACAGAAAATGACAACAGTGATGCAGCACGAATCCACATTGTACCCAAAAGAGGCACCGTATTTTTGCTTCGAATGGAAGGAGCAGAAGTGGCGTTGAACGGAGGATCTCTGGCCTACCGACCAGCGGATAGAACACTGAGGAAGTGGAAGGCAAACTCTTCTCTTGGGACAAAGAAACGGAAGAGGGTGCTTTACACGGATCTATTTACCGATTTCTTATTTTCTGCGACCGATCCTACAAATAATACTCCAAAAGAATGAGTGTACACTCTTACTTTCTGCACATTTCTCTTAGAAGAATTGAGAAATTGGGTATTTCGTATCTGCTCAATGGCACAAAACTGCGTTTACTGGTATGCAAGTGATGATCTACCACAGTGTTACAAAATCTTAGTCCAAGGAGGAGGCAAGTATTTTTTCTTCGGCATTGAGAGACAGGTGGGTAAATTTCTTCCTTCGGTCAGGGTTGTTGCGTCCTCCACGTTTTTGTTGCCTTTGATCGAGACTGGGTGGATTTTAAGCATCTACTTCCAATTAAGAAGACTAAATTCGAAGGAAGTTCTTAAGTCTTAGAGCATTTGTAGACGTGGGACTGTAGCTGAGCGGCTAAAACCACCTTAATCGTTACAACCGTGAACGGAGATTGCGGTGGGTGGTAGAGGTTTGGCGGTCGTCGAGGCTCTAACCACTGCGAGACGTTAAAGGTCCCAGTGCCAATGCAATACGTTATGAACCTGTCAACATCGTGTCGTCGATGCGGAATAGACGCAAGGGATGGACCCATGAAAGCTAGTGTCGTACTGATTCTCTCATGCTGACCGGATCCCAAAAAACGTTTTTCTTAACGCATATGACATGATGAGTCTCTAGTAGTTATTAGGGTGGACAGGTGCTGCCTGTAGTATTGCAAGATCTATGCGAAGATAAGAGAAGGTGTAGAAGTTAAATAGGGCATATATACTAGCAAAATAGAGGGAGATTGGGATTTTTAACAAAACTTGAACACTAGCCTAGCGATAGTAAAAAAAATGGAGAATTTCACTGACTGTAATAATTTGCTTACGTGACCATCCTCATGCCTGGCGGTTATCTTTGCGCCCGTCTTGACATTGTGCGCAAGAGCTAGCCTTCAGGGTAAGCCAAGTCCCAATTTCTTTTTATCCTTCCAAAATACAGTCCAATTTAATGCCTTTTTTACGCAGAGGTAAGTCCGGGAGTACTACACTGACTTTTATGTTGTACGTTTTGTAGCGTTCCGAGACTCCTCAGCGTGTGGAAGAAGACAGTAAGTGAGGCTGGAGATATGCATTCCGAAGAGAACAGAGCGAATGGACCTGAGCATGGCTCGAAGGCCAGCCCACACACACGAGGGCCAGACAGTCTTAAAGTAACCGCCGAACGTCAGGTAGTCACACGCATCTTGTTGTCCCATGCCTTGATATCACTTGCAGAAAATCGATATCCATTTGTACATTCCTAGAAGATCGGATGGGTTGACCAGTCCCAGCAGCCAAATCTATTTTGCGTGACTTACTGTTATACTTTGGCCACTTAAAGAAAGCTGGAAGCTCTTCATTTTCAGACACTTGGGTCATTATAAATCACTTTACAACCATAATTTCGCCACGCAAAATGGCCGATTCTATTCTTAAACCAACTTTAAACCAGCATTTGACCAGCATAACACGATGATTCTATTTTGGAATACATACTTTGATTAAATTTTTCCTTTACTGCGCTTTGAAAATAACTAATGTTTCTGACTAATCAAAATGACCAGTCATAATTTTCCTTATGTTTTTAATACCAAAATAGATTGGATCTTATTAAGTGGTTAAAAGTTTTGGAAACTAGCACTTTAGTCCTTGAAAAAGTCAGCCTTTAAACTCTTTACTAATTGGTTAGTGCATAATTCAGAGCTAATGTAGCCTAGATTGTTGGATTCAATCTCACTCCTCAATATTCATGCTTCAAGATCCATCAATTAAGCCTTTTTAACTTACCGACAAACAATGGCACAAATAGGTTTTAATATTCCTTTTATAACTGAACTTGGCGATGGATGGCGGACTGAAAGAGCTCCACCACCTCGTCCTCCACCGCGCCAGGAACCGATCGTGCGCACTTATCAGAAGCATCTGGCAGCATCAATTAGACGTCAGATTCGGCAAAAGGAGTCCACGTCTGTCATTTTCCAACATAGATTTATTGCGTCAAAGTCGTTGGAACACAGTAGGAAGTGGTTCCAACGCGAAGTCGAGGCGCAGCTGCAACGCGGTGGACTCTTCGAAGATCCTTTTATGCCTCCTGTTGATTCCACAATTTGGCCGGATCGTAGCAGCTCATCATCGAAATATCGTTGGCGCAGACCAAGAGTGAGTTTAGGCGAATCGAGTCTTCTCTACTGTTTGAGTTATGGTGGCGTTGTAGGTGTTTAAGCACTTGCTTTTTAGTATCTTTTTTTCTCGCTTATTACACTAGTGCAAAATTTCCAAGACTAACGTCTTTGCAATCATATAGATGCATACACACATACGCATACAGATATCGCCATCATTTTGGGTTACTTCGCCTCCTAATGACTTCCTCATACTCATATTTGCGCTTATAGAAAAACCCTTTATTTGAACGAAAAGAAGCAACATTTTAATATGTTAATTTGATTCTGTAATATTTTCCGAAACATTCACTCATTAGTTTCTAACTGTCGCGTAGGCTTTAATTTCTATTTCTAGTTTCTATCTTCCTTGTTCCCAGTGGCTAGCACCATTCTGGTAAACCTACAAATAATCCAAACTGCCAAATCTCTCATGTCTCCTGCTCTGCATATTACCTTTGTCTTGTGTTAGCTTATACGTGCTCTGTTGTTTCTTATTTCGGGCATTTTTCATCAGTGCCCTTTTTATTGTGCCTTTAGGAATTAGTAGCCGATCCCCAATTCATCGCTGATGGTCTCAGCCGTTTCGACATTAGACAGGGAGAATTGGGTAAAGCACTGGCATTATTTGCATCCTCAATCTCCATTACTTGTTGATTTTTTGCTGCACAAAATTTTTATTATTCTTGCAGGCGACTGTTGGCTTATCGCAGCGTTGGCCTGTCTCTCTATGCACCAAAAACTTCTCAGTGAAGTTAGTCCTTTTTGACAATATGCCTTCACTTTTTCACCGTAAATTCGTTTTTATACAAAACACGTGGCAGGCAATACAAAGTTCAACTTTATGTGCAAATGCATTCTCAACTTGGGTGTATCTGCATTTTGTTTCAAAAGTGGAGCACCCTAGACACTGGTCTAGATTGCCAATTGCGCATTCTTTCGTTTAAAGTTCTCAGCTTCTATTCTGGCGTAATCAACTAATCAACCTCATGCATTTTGGTAATTCGATTATGCTTTTGTCAGGGCTGTCAACACGTCGGTTTCTGTTTTGAGCAGCAGAAAATAGTGATACTTTTGAAGTCATATGAATGGTTGGGTTTGGGGCTGACCTAATGAATGAATGACTGATTGCTTTGATGCTATGAGGGCGGCGTTTTCCATGACTCCAATAATGAAATTCATTTTCTTGGATCCCGAAACCTACTTTCTTCCTTGGCTGCAGCTGTCTGTGGAGAGTAGATTTGCACAATTTCGTATTAAAATGAAGATTCCTCCTGTAACTGTCGCAAAATCGTTATAAACGCTTTATTACTGATCCAAATAATTGCCTCTTTTGAGCATGTGAAACATGTTGTTATGGTTACAATTGGCCATGCATGTGTTAGCAAGTTTTTTTCAGCGTCACAGATGCGTGAACTTTATTTTTAGTCATGGGTCAGGATGGAGTATAGAAAGCTCCTAGTCTGAGGTCAATTGAAGTTGACTTGTGTGCTTGTTACTTTTACTGAGGAAGATGCTTGTGATGTAAATGCTTGCTATCGCTTACCTTCTTATAAGTAGTTTGAAACAGACGATTTAATTAGCAATTAGTCTCCTGAAAGCACGTACAATCAAAGGCTTTGTCTTCTATCAAATCTGCTCCAACCAACTGCATTTTTAACCTTTTAGGTGGTTCCATCTGGTCAGTCCTTTGTACCGACGAGAGATGGGAGTCCTCTGAACGCTAATGGAGGTTTCGCTTATGTCGGCATGTTCTGGTTCCGTTTCTGGTACTTTGGCTATTGGGTCGACGTGGTTGTTGACGACCGATTGCCCACCGATGGGAGCCGTCTCTGCTTCATGCACTCTACTGATCGACGAGAGTTTTGGTCTGCCCTATTGGAAAAGGCCTATGCTAAGTGAGTGAAGGCTATCCTTGAAGGCGCTTCTTGTTGACTCTGATAGCAGACCTTTTCGATCCCTAAAAGGTTAGTCATGCACAGTTATCGACATTGAGAGGGCTGTAGACATGTTATTATTAGGTTGAAGTCATTCCTGACATCGTAATAAGTTGTGCTGATACGAAGATGCTCTGAGCGGTCATATGGACTCAAGTGATGCCTGAACATTTTACCTCCTTTTCAGACTTATTGGGAGCTACGATGCTCTTCGCGGTGGCACTACTTCCGAAGGTATGGAAGATTTTACTGGCGGAATGTGTGAAATGATCGAGTTGGGCGACAAGGCACCAGAAAACCTCTTCAGCATTATGTCTCGAGCTCATTCTCGTTGCTCTCTCCTTGCATGCTCAATTGATGCAAGTCCTGAAGAATTGGAGGCCGACGGACCCTATGGACTCATCAAAGGACATGCCTACTCAATCACCGATGTTCGAACGGTAAGTCTTTTAGGACTCTGGCCTACTGATGAAGTAGTCAGTAGTAATCGTGATTACAAGGCTTTCGTGCTGTTGTGAATTTGCCATCTTGTCACGTTGTGATTCCTCTGAGTCCCCGCTCTCTTACGTCTTAGTTAACAATTGCAATGAACACAAGGAACTCTCACTATAGTCGTCGAAGATGTTATAGGTGCCGAGGTGCTCTCCATGAGGGTTAAGTATTGGTTCAACGCCATTCATACCATCTATAATTCTTCCAGTGCTTTGCATCTGACGAACACGTGTGAAGTAGAGTAGCCAGTTGGTCCCAAAACTATCACCGATAGGATGGGGACAGCAGTGTGTTGTACGGTACTGCCAAAATAGGACTGGGAATAATCAGTCAGCTTTCTTTTGCTTTACAGTTAAACGTCAGGGTAAGTTTGCACGCTTTTCTGTTTCATATCTGTCTACCAATGCATCCTCCTATTGGTCCAGAGTGCCATCACATTTTGGTCATTTCTTTTCTTCGACCAGAGCAATGTGGTAGAAATTCGCTGGGTTTCTGGTGCTTCTGTGGTAGATTTTGAATGCATTTAGTGGCGAATGCTGCATGATCTCTTGGTTGTGTGCTCTTCCTGAACCAAATTAATCCCGAATTGACTATCTTCCTCCTTTTTCATCACAGGCTTGTTTATATGGCTTGATTTGATTGACGTCGCCCTGTCACTGACACTGAATCAAGACGAATGTTTACATAAAAACTTGCTTGCACACCTTTTTCACCACGCTTTTGATTAGGTGATTGCGATTCTCTTAGGTAATTACTACGACTGATGAATTGGATGCTAACCAAGTAATTTACTTCTACTTTGTAAAGAGTGAATAAGGCAGGTTTGATTTTTTAAGACTATCATTAATTTGTTTCAGTATTTCTCCTCTACCTCACCTAAACAGTCTTCATCCTCTTTTTAATAGTGCGAATGTAATTTATTACTTGAAGGTGAAGTTCTGCTAGTCTTAACTTCTGAATTATCCTCAAATTAACAAATTTGGTTAGAAGCATTCGCATTGTAAAATTAACTCTTCAAACCTTTTTTTCCGCGTCAGTATGCACACGTACACTATTTTTGTTCTTTGTTAATGCGCTAATCTGATTGGTGTTCTTTCTGCCATACTGTTATCTGATTTGCTGTTTGCGCGCATTTTTCCCCTTTTGCATGGTGTCACGGTTGCATATACATCTACTTATGTCATTTTAGTAAAAATATTAATACAAGGGTAGTCATTGCATTGTTATGGTCATTCCATGCATGCTCCAGTTGCGCGGTTTTTTTTGTTCACACACTAACTACACTGTAGATTCATGAAAAAAATGGTGAACAAAAGGAGATGGTTCGGTTAAGAAATCCTTGGGGAAATGAACGTGAGTGGGTGGGACCGTGGAGCGATAAATCGAAAGAGTGGTCTCGCATTGCACCAGAGGAGCGAATGCAAATTGGTCTGACTTTTGACAATGACGGTGAATTTTGGTAAGTGATGTTCTGGTTTCTTCCTTTATGCAAAAGTAGCTTATAGGCGTTTAAAAGTCCCTTAAAGCTTAGGATTCACCCTAGTAATTTTGTAACTTT